GTTCCTCATCGACTGGCTCCGCTGCTGCTGTGACTGCATCCTCTTCCTCACCATCACCGGCATCTACACAGTCAAGTACATCCTCGTGGGTTTTGGACTCTGGAGCCTCCTTTCATATGTCTTCTGATTCTTCCGCGTTGTCTTCTCTCCGACCTCTTGATTCGCCTGTTAATGTTCTTACTGCCGATGGCAAATCTCTTCCTGTTGCTAGTCGTGGTATTCTTTCCACTCCCTCCTTTTCTGTTCCGAGTGTTTCACATGTTCCTCGTCTTACCATGAATCTTTTTTCCGCTGCCCAACTTACTGATTCGGGTTGTCATGTCATTCTTGACACCAACTCTTGCTCCATTCAGGATCGTCGCACCAAGGCTTTGGTTGGTGCTGGCCCTCGGCGCCATGAGTCAGAGGGCCTTTGGGAGGTTGATTGGCTTTGTGTTCCTTCCGCTGCCACCACTTCTGCCAGCTCTCATGCTCTTGCTGCCTCTTCGTCTGCGTCCTTCCAGCAGTGGCATCATCGCCTTGGTCACATCTGTGGCTCTCACTTGTCTTCTTTAGTTCATCAGGGCCTTTTAGGGTCTGTATCTGGAGATGTCTACTTACATTGTAATGGTTGCAGACTTAGCAAACAGACTCAGTTACTTTATCCTACTAGTGAGTCTGTATCTCAGCGTCCTTTTGACTTAGTTCATTCTGATGTCTGGGGTCCTGCTCCCTTTGATTCGAAAGGTGGTCATCGCTATTATGTTTTGTTTATTGATGATTTCTCTCGCTACACTTGGCTCTACTTCATGAAATCTCGTAGCGAGGTTCTCCCTATATACAAATGTTTTGCTGCCATGGTTCACACCCAGTTTGCCACCCCCATTCGCACTTTTCGTGCTGACTCCGCTGAAGAGTATATCTCTCAGCTGTTGCGTGCTTTTCTCACGGAACAGGGTACTCTTGCGCAGTTCTCGTGTCCTGGTGCTCATGCTCAGAATGGCGTTGCCGAACGAAAGCATCGTCATTTGCTTGAGACGGCTCGTGCGCTGATGATTGCTGCTTCCCTTCCACCCCATTTTTGGGTTGAGGCTGTTTCCGCATCCACCTATCCCATCAACATTCAGCCCTCGTCTACTCTACAGGGTGGTATCCCTATGGAGTGTCTCACTGGTCGCTCTCCTGACTACTCTGCTCTTCGTATGTTTGGATGCGTGTGCTATGTTCTTCTTTCCCCCCGAGAACGCACCAAACTGATTCCTCAGTCGGTTGAGTGTGTTTTCCTTGAGCACAAGGGATATCGATGTTGGGATCCTGTGGGTCGTCGCTTGCGCATCTCGCGTGATGTGACTTTTGACGAGTCTCATTCTTACTACCCACGTTCTTCTTCCTCGAGTTTCTCGGTGGACGACCTTTCTTTCCTTCTCCTTCCGGATACACCCTGCTATGTGCCTCCCGTGTCACCTCTTTCTCTTGCATCTCTCCTTCCTTCTCATTCACCACCGACCCCGTCTTCTCCACCCTCCTCCTCCACCTCTCATCCATCATCTCCAGTCCGCCACCCTCTCTCCCCGTTTCCTCTTCACTATACTCGTCGATCTCGTCCTCAGGATGTCTCCTCTGACGAGCCTTCCATCTCTAGTGCGCCTCCTCTCACACCTCTCCCGGTTCACAACCTCCGTGATCGACCTCGCCCCCCACCTGATCGCTACTCCCCTGATCGGTACGGTCTCTCTGTTATTGCTGAGCCCCCTTCCTATCGAACTGCCATGACTCAGCCTGAATGGCAGCTTGCGATGGCGGAAGAGCTTGCTGCTCTTGAGCGCTCTAGCACATGGGATCTGGTTCCCCTTCCTTCCGGTGTTCGTCCCATCACCTGCAAGTGGGTCTACAAGATTAAGACTCGCTCCGATGGTTCTCCTGAGCGCTACAAAGCTCGTCTTGTGGCCCGTGGTTTTCAGCAGGAGCAGGGGCGCGATTATGATGAGACGTTTGCTCCTATGGCCCACATGACCACGGTCCGCACTCTTCTTGCTGTGGCCTCTGTTCGTCAGTGGTCTATCTCTCAACTTGAGGTTCAGAACGCCTTTCTCAATGGTGAGTTGCGTGAGGAGGTTTATATGCAGCCACCACCGGGGTACTATGCTCCTGATAATATGGTCTGTAGGCTGCGCCGCTCCCTCTATGGTCTCAAACAGGCCCCTCGCGCCTGGTTTGAGCGCTTCGCCTCTGTGGTGACTGCCGCTGGTTTCTTGCCCAGTGATCATGATCCGGCATTGTTTGTTCACATGTCTCCTCGTGGTCGGACTCTTCTCCTTCTCTATGTTGATGATATGATCATCACTGGTGACGACTCTGATTACATTGCCTTTGTTAAGGCTTGCCTTCGCGACCAGTTTCTCATGACTGATCTTGGTCCACTTTGTTATTTTCTTGGGATTGAGATCTCCTCCACCTCTGATGGCTTCTACATCTCCCAAGAAAAATATATCCAGGATCTTCTTGCACGCGCTGCTCTCGGTGATGAGCGCACAGTTGTGACTCCCATGGAGCTCAACGTTCATCTTCGTGCATCTGATGGTGACCCTCTTCCTAATCCCACTCGCTATCGTCACCTTGTCGGCAGTCTTGTCTACCTTGTTGTTACGCGTCCTGACATTTCCTATCATGTCCACATTCTGAGTCAATTCATTTCAGCCCCCACCTCTGTCCACTATAGTCATCTCCTCTGTGTCCTACGATATCTTCGTGGCATGATCTCTCAGCGCCTTTTCTTTCCCTGCTCTAGCTCTCTTGAGCTCCATGCCTACTTTGATGCTACCTGGGCTAGTGATCCCTCTGATCGACGGTCGCTGTCTGCTTATTGTGTCTTTCTTGGTGGCTCTCTTATTGGCTGGAAGACAAAGAAACAGACTGCGGTTTCTCGCTCGAGTACAGAGGCTGAGTTGTGAGCCATGGCCATGCTAACGGCTGAGGTGATCTGATTACGGTGGCTGCTTGAGGATTTTGGTGTGTCTGCTACTACCTCGACTCCCTTATTGTCAGGCAGTACTGGTGCTACCAGTATTGCGCGTGACCCGGTGAAGCATAAGCTCACCAAGCACATCGGTGTGGATGCCCACTTTGTGCGTGCTGCTGTGCAGGATCAAACTCTCGCTCTTCACTATGTGCCCTCTGAGCTACAGTTAGCAGACTTCTTCACGAAGGCACAGACTCGAGCGCAGCACAGTTTTCTTCTCTCCAAACTCAGTGTTGTCGATCCACCATGAGTTTGAGGGGGGGTGTTAGATGTGTATAACCCTTTTCGGTTTATCCCCATTGTATAAGGGGTCTCTTGCACTTTACCATACACATGTATATGTACTGGCCTTTGGCCCTCCCGTGAGAGTAGTTGCTGATTATCCAACAGTCAGCAAGTAAAAGTTGTCTCCAATCTTGATGAATATGGAGACCCACCATACCTACCATATGTACCATTCTATGCAGCATTACAATCATTGCACTCGTGAAAACAATAGGAGACTCTGGTGCTTTATTTGGAGCAATGGTGGTTCAGTAATCGAAAGTAATGAGGCAACTTTTCTGATTCCTCTGAGATTCGTTCGCGTAGTAGTGTTGAAGGGGGAAATGCTATGATCATGTTGTAAAATACATGTTACTTATTATCAGTATCTTCAATCAGTTTGGGCAAATATATCCATCTTGTTGACAGAGACCTAGTAAATGATTGGCCTCGTCTGCTAATGGTATAATGTGTGTAATCATTTTTTCATTAATGCCAGATCTTTGTTTTTTGATGGAGAAACACTTTGGATGATTGCATTCTCACTTCCTTTGATGCTAATTAATTGTGGTTGATTAAATAGGAAATGGTGCTAGCTGAACACCATGAAGTTGTGCATCAGTGATTAAATGGTGCATGCTGAACAACACACATGCGTTTAATTTTGGTTCTAATTACTTATGTCATGTTTTAAAATAGGTTAGGATGTTGATAACAGAAGTTCATTGAGTTCTGCTTGTGGATCATAATGTTCATTCTTTTCTTAGACAGCTCCTTGTAACACAAAATTGCTCAAAAGACTGGGAAGACATCCTCTTTATTTGTGGGCTTTGTTGAGATAGGTAGGTTAGAAAAGTTTGTAATAACCAAATGTTGGGCACTTTCCATGGTTGCAAACTGCACAGGCACACCACTATTTCAATGAACTTTACAGCGTTACTACTGAATTTCTATTTCTGATGCACGAAAATAAGTAGTGGCTGCGGTGTCGACACATTCAGATTCAGACTTACTGTAAAACAGTCCAAGCCTGCAAGGCAAAACTGAATCTGTTCTTCTCTAAAACTGCATCTTAGATGATCACCGGGCAGATGCTTGGGACTGGGGTTACATTCAATTCAGCCCCTTGTTGCCCCTGTAGCATGAACAATCTGGAGAGCGGAGTAACTGACTGGATCTATTCTGATGGTTGCGCGAGTGCATTTTTGTTCAGATATTAGAGGAGGACACCTCTCTCTGCCTCTGCATCTGAACTTAGGATGAGTGCAAACAACAAACTGCAGTCTCGTTGTGCCAACACCCGCCACCACGGATGCTCCGTAGGACCTGCCGCGTTCCTCGTCCACCCGGATTTGAGCCTCTCTTGCCGTTGCCGACTTATAAATCCGCAGATCGATTGCCCTTGCCGCCGGCGCCGGCTTCGACACATCCGGCCGCCGGCGCTGACGCCTTTTGGATGGATTCGACGTGTACCGAATCGCACAGCCCCGACAACGACTCTACGCCACATCTTGGCATGGCCTCCTCCTCCTCCAGGTGCTCGGATCTCACTCGTCGACGGACAAGCGGAATAGCCACGCCCGTCGACCGTCGGTCGGGCTCGGTGCTAGTCCAGCAGCTCGTCGGCTCCCCGCTGCCGGCAGTCAAGTGTGACCACTGCCCACGGCTAGTTTTCGAGCACGCCGAAACATCCGTATGGGTGTTCTTCAAGTGCGAAAAGGATAGGGTGAGTGCCGAGGACTGGCTTCTGGTATCGCCCGTCCTCTTCACCAGTGTATCTCAGAGACATAGCACTCCCATCGACACCTCTTTCGCCTTCCTGCCCAACCACAGGCATATAGAGCTATTGGACAGCTGCAACAGCCTTCTCCTCTGCCGCTTGCACGGTGTCTTTGCCCAGGGTGATGACTTATGTTATGTGGTGTGGAATTCTGCCACGGAGAAGTGGGTCATGTTGCCGGACTCCGGCCAGGAAAGCATCTTTGTGGTTATCGCACGTTTGGGCTTCACTCCGGGCATTTCTTCGCATTTCCATGTGTTTTTGTTGGTGGAGGAGCAGGATCAATGGAACCCAGACCTCTCCGGAGTGGCAGTGTATTCGTCTGAAACCGGAGAATGGGTTTATAAGGAGAACAGATGGAACAAGCGTATCAAGGTCATTGAGCTTCAGTTATCTTCTGCCTTTCTTAACGGCTATCTGCATATCCAAGCTGATGGCCAGGACTTAACCACTTGTCTAGCTGTGGTGGATACGGATGTGGAAACATGGATGAACTTCAGTGTCCCTGGTGGTCTGGTTAACGGTTTTATTCAACAGTCACAAGGCCGCTTGCATTATGCCAATTTTCAGAGAGATGAAGACCGTGGTGTCTTTCGACTAGTGGTTTATGTTCTCGAGAACTACCAAAGCAAAGAATGGATATTGAAGCATAGCGTTGAAACTTCATGCATACTTGGAAGGACAGATTACTGCATTGATGGGTTTGATTGGATTGCGATTCATCCGGAATGCAACTTGATATTCTTCACCCTTGGGCTGGATCTCAAACTCATGTGCTATAATATGGATCGTCGGCAAGTCAAAGTGATCTGCAATCTTGAAGGTGTGAAGCCGCCATATCTGCCATATGTGCCGTTGTATGCCGAGTTAGAGGCATTGCACATTTGACATCAGTTGTCATTCATATTTTGGTTGCTTTATAGTGGTTCTGTTCACTACTACCTCCGTGTGGTATATTTGCAAAATGTTTCAGCAAAGCTACGTGCTACGATCGTTTAGTGAAGGACTTATCAATTATCACCATGCAGTTTAAACTTATGTTTTCTGTTTGCAGTCGGGGGAATTAGATCATTAGAAGCATGTTGCTGACAGAGACCTAGTAAAACTATTGCTCGTCTATTAATATGATAGTTTGTGGGATCATATCTTTCGTGCTAAATGCTAATTACACGTGGCCTGTTTTAAGTCGAAAAAGGTGTTAGCAGAACAACAGCAATCATAATGTACACAATTGATTCTGCCAACTGTTGGTCAGAAATCCTGTTTGTTCGTAGGTACATTTATTCATGTAGGTGGGTTAAAATAGTCTGTGCACTGCACTTCCCATGCTACTCCTGCTGATACATGATGTCTGTAATGTTGCACGCACAATCTAGCCCTAGTGTTGTTTGTGAATTTTGTTTTCTGACGCGGCTGTGGCTGTCATGGCTCCGGTTTCAGCTTCAGCTACCACATGGTTTAGCTGGGTCAGCCTGCATTTTTCTGTGGCCATACGACCATGGTTCTGTGGCTGAACTATTTAACTTGGGGTTAAATAGTGGCTGAACACACTAAAATGCGTCTATATACATCCGAATCAGAAAAACGTCAGAACATCTTGTAATTGTAAATGGAGGGAGTACAATTCTTCTACAATGAACATTTTCTTCTGCTAGTATTGCAGCAGTAAAGTGTGCTGTAGCTGCTATAGTGCTATATGTTTTACAAGATGTGTACCAATCACTCTATATTAACAGGACAATAATATTTTTTAGTGTTTAAGTGAAAGGTCTAATATTCTCTTTTCAATTGGGGTTTGTCTGTTTCGGTAATTCATATAGTAGTGCCTGCAACTGCAAGAATTGGCTGCTATGCTGTGATTCTGGATCAGGAGCCAATTTACTATTCTCACTCTGTTTTTAATATAGCACAATATATATTATTTACTTAAGCTACCTGGATATGCCAAAGCACATCCTGCTGATATGATAGTTCGGCATAATGATATTTGTCATAAACCGTGATGCTCAGACATACAAATTTACCATCAGGAGCCAACATCTGATGGATCATCTCTTTAGCATTTGTTCTTCAAACTTGACTGTCCTAGCAAATGTAACTATAAAAGTGTACCAACAGAAGTAGTCCTCATTTAGTATTTCTTGCATGGTGATATTGCTCTTTTATTTGCATTAAAGCATTGTTGTGAAGGATGCTATAACCTGGAGAGGAGCTAAAGTGACTCAAAGCTATAAAATGCATGGTCCCTAGGTCAGCTGTGCACTTTTTTATTCTGCTAATGTATAAACTTACCAGCACTGATTTTCATATACGAGTAGCAAATAGCACAAGGAACATTGTGTGGCTCCACTCTAAACAGCGCAAGCTAATTTTCAGTAAATACAAACAGAATATATATAAACCTTGACTTTATGTCTGGAGGTGAGCTTATATTTTCTATCTACTAATGCCAATGGTAAGGTTTCCTTCAATCACTATTGCTATAGTGACTTAGTGAGGCACAGTGGTTATATTTACAAGTCTGTATTTACCAAGTTATATGATGCATCTTCCAACTTTTTTCTATCAGCAAGTTCACAGCAGTTTTTGGGCAAACAAAGTGCATGCATCGACCAATTTGATTTATTTCTGGTAGTGACTGCTATGTTGAGAATCTCCTTCTGTATGCGATAGTGGACAAGATGATCAATGTGTGGACTGCAGTAAAGCGTGAAAGCTTAATAAGGTCAAGGGGCAAGTTTGTGTGGACTGGTAGTGACTGTTATGTTTTGTATAAAATTCCAGCAAGGTCGTTGCAAACTGAGTGAAGCGAGGTCTCCTGATTCTCATCTCCGAGGAGCAAAGTGCTTTTGTGCCAGGTAGATTAATTACTTATAACGTCCTTGTCGGTTATGAATTCATTCATTCAATTCGGAAGAAGAGGAAGAAGCCCTTATGTGCAGTCAAATTGGATATGATGAAGGTGTATGACATAGTTGAATAGAATTTTCTGGATGCTATGATGCGTCAGATGGGTTTCTCTCAGGGGTGGATTGATAATTGATAGCATTATGAGGTGCATTAAATT